CTTTCAGAGGTGTTATAATGGAAGTAATGCTAATACTACCACTAGCTTTGGTTACCCTCCACTTCACCTGCCATGCCAATGACCATTTCATAGAGATCTGGATAACCATCCTTCCTCAGGCAGCTCACAGCAATAAATATTTAACACTACTTGTTTCTATATCAATAATTAATCATTTGTACTCTTCATTATTTTATTGATTATAAAATATTACAAAAATAATTTTCTTTATATTAATGCTTTGTTAGAATTACGCCATTCAGTAATTACTTTAAGCATATTACTAGTTTTATATTTAGGATAATAAAACTTGTATCATTGGCATGTGATTGTATATAAAATTTGCCAAATTCAGTTAATTCACTTTTATAAATTAAATCATTTACATAAAGAGTAAATAATATATTATATTTTGAACTAACTTGTTAACTTCCTATTGTCATGTTTTTGGATTTGAACTTATTGACTTAACGGTAATTATTGTTTCTCTATCAATTAAATAACATTTTAATAGTTCTAATGCTTTTACTCTTATACCGTATTACCGTAACTTATACAATAATATCTCAACATTGTGCTAACAATTAGTTTTATCAATACTTTAAAGGTTCAGCTATATAATCTTTAATACGTTTAATACTGTCTGTATCAAGCCCATGAATATCAACTGATTTACTATCTACTGTTCAATTCACTTGTAGTAGTTAATATTTCTTCATTTCTTGTTAAATAAATAAATATATATATATATATATACCAATATATATGTATATATATACGTATGTGTGTGTGTATTTGCTAGTCTATTGTTACGACAGCGGAAGTCAAGTGACGCTAGTAACACGTCATGAGCTTCTAGAAAAATCATGTCCCTTCGTGAAGCCTCGAGTGTTTACTAGATGTGCGGTATTCTTGTATATAAGACCGCCAAGAAGTGACGGCAATAATGGAATTGAATTGCAGACAGAGATAGAGACGACAATTGAGTCAAGCGCGTGAATCGTTCGTTCGTTGTGAATTATAGCATTTGTTTAAGTTATAGCGTGACTGTGGAAATTAAGTGTATTGCAAAGTTGTATTGAGAAAGAATAAACTAGTTTTATTTAAGAAAGGACTTGTATCGCTAAAGTTTCTTCTGAAATAATTTTTACGGAAAATTAACAAACGAACAGAGACGTAACACTATGTTTTTATTAGTAGGAACGTAACTAATGAATATACATATGCAATATCACATATGTATGTTTTGTCTACACATTTGTTTCAGAACCAGTTGTAATATGAATAAACAGCTTTCTGCGAAGTAAAGAAGAACCAAACGTCTTAGGACATTCTTTAGACACATGGGTGTCTGGTAAAGAAGCCATCAAGGCTACTAGAGCTAAAAAAATCAAAAGACTGATAATAAAGCTGAAGCTAGAGATTGAAGTGAAGTTGGTGAAGCAACAGGAACAGAGCCGCTACCACAATATTCCACAGATACAGAAGGAGCAGAGCCAGATGTAGCAGCTGGATAATCAAATAAGACAGCTGTCTCTAAACCATGCGGATTATCCCTCAACGTTGATTTTTTCGGCAAGGGCACAGAGAATCCTATGCAATGCACATTATCGGATTTCTCACCCTTCATGAGAATGTATGGAAAACAAAAAACGATTTCCAAAAGAGAATCTATTTCAACAACAACAAAATGGTGCACGTATTAAACATGAATGGCTTATTTACTTACCATCAGCTAGTAGTGTATTTTGTGTTTCTTGTAAATTGTATTCTAATTCCGCACAAGCTCTGGCTACATAAGAATACTGCGGGTGTAAAAATGTTGTTAAAATCATACATAACATTCAACGTTAAAACTGGTACACAATTAAAAACATTTTATTTAGGCCTATCTATGGCCTTCAAAAAGTTGCAACGTCGAAACATGTAGAGTCGTCAACTTTTTGAAGGCCATAGATAGGCCTAAATAAAATGTTTTTAATTGTGTACCAATTGTAACGTTGAATATTATTTATGATTTTGACTTTATACACAAGTGCCAAAA